GAGAATTTTTGAGAATGACAAATTATGTTTTATTCCAACTATTTAACAATACTGCTGTTAATAAAGTAATCAAGACCACTATGCTTGGAAATAACAACTGGACAAAATTTCTGATGGGGAAAACAATATTTTTTTAGTTTTAATTTGGAATTCAACCCAGATGGTTTTAAAATACTCTAAAATTGTTTATAGTTCGATATACCAAGAAAAATATTACCTGCAAATGTATCTCTATGCCGAATATTCCTTAGTACATTCAGATAACGTTTAACAAAAAAAGTTCTTAGGGGATTTGACAAAAAAAAAGCTCGCATTAGCTTCCATCGCACGACCACAGTCAACCATGACATCTGTCTTTCTATTCGATCGGCTAGTGGCCCAATTTAAAAAAACGTGCTGAATTTGGTGATATTTTTTAAGTTTTAATTTGTAATTCAACCCATATTGGTTTGAAAATACACAAAAGTTGTTAGCTCGATATACCAAGAAAAATAATATGTAAAACTATCTCTAAGCAGAATTTTTCTTAGTTTATTCTAATAACGTCTAACAAATAAAAGCTCTAGTGGGATTTGGCAAATATTGGGTTGTCCGGAAAATAATGCAGGATTTTAAGTTTTCATTAAAAAAAATCTATATAAAATATTCTGTTTACGTTTACAGGATTACTCATTNAATACCAAAATCCTGCATTATTTTCCGGACAACCCAATAGCTCGTACATGTTAGGTTCTTTCGAACGACCACTATCAACCCTGGCATCTGTCTATTCTATTTGAACGGATAATGGACCTAATTGAAGAAAACCATCCTGAATTTGCGGATAAAAAGGTGTCATTATGGCAGCAGCGCGCCAGGCAGTTCAAGACTCGCAAAAATTATTGTGATTTGAATGTTGAGTTATACTTTATGTCCCATTTTCGAACATACAGATGTTTTCCGCTAGTAAATACATTTTTATCGGTACAGAATTGAGTATGATTACTGACAATCATTCAATCTTTTCCATGAAAATTTTTGAAAACGACGAATTACGTTTTATTCAAACTGCTTACCAATATTTTTTCTTATAAAGTAAATATTTCCCGGGCAAAATCATTCTGATGGGGAAAACCAGTATTATTACCAGTATAAGTTAATTTGTAATTCACTGGATTTAAATTTTAAATACACAGCTTTTTAAAGCTCGATACACCAAGAAAAATAACTGTAAAAAGGTATTTTTATGCCAAATAATTTTTTCAATGAAACCTCATTAACTTTTAAGAAGAAAACAAACAGCATTTTATTCCGAATTGTTTACTTATTGTTTAAACTTCTTTTTTACTTCACATTAACAGCACCGTAGCACATTTAACGATTTACTCCCCCCCCCCAATACCAATAAAATTAAGCCACCGTAAAAGTCATTTACAAATTTTCAACACACGTCCAACGTAAAACAGAGAGAAATATAGGTTTTCCTAAATGTTTCATTCAAGTTTCAACCGCAAGGAAAACCTATTTGGATTCAGGCCGTCTCTAGATCGGATCGGGTGAGAAATTTTCACCACATCCTGTCATTTTTTTTCCCCCCAACTACCGGAATGAATCTACGGATCGTAAATTTGCGCCATTCAACATCACTTAATGTCAAGTTTACTGGGCTGTTTCGAGTAATGATCGTTCAGTTGGAATGAAACGGTCATATTAGAACTGATTCAATGACAAATCCAAACTAGTTAAATTATGAAATTACTTTGGACGGTTTGTTAAGACCGTCGAAATAGCAATCTTTATTACTGAGGGCTTTAACAAAAGATCGCGTTGAGTTTAAATGAGTTTCACCCCTAATTAGTGTTTGATACGATCAGTTGTATTAAGGCCAGTTTATACAACAAAACTTTAATTTAACAAACAATCCGTTCTTGCATAAACTAAAACTTTGTGCAATGAAAAGTATATTATTATTAATTTAACAGTTATTTATGAGGCAAAATATTAAAATTATGTGCCTACTCGCCGTTTAGCAAACCTCATAAAATGCCCCCTTGGATATATAATCCATTATTAAACAAGCCCCCTTCCCCCAACAAGAACATCAAGGACAGGCCCTGCACAAATACAATGCCTCTGAGGCTAGTGTTAGGTGAAAATGTGACACCTCCTTTGGGTACAGTGTCCCTAAATCTATTAACTTCAAGGAGAAATTACTCCAGGGAACTCCTATTCACTTTTGCCCACCCCTATTACATATGATGAGGTCTTCAATCAATGGGCGCAGTAATGGGCAAGATCGTGTACTAACTTCATTAATTTGACCCTTCAATTGTCAACTGGAAAACTAAAATGAAAACGCAAAAAATAAAGCATATCTCACATGTAGTTACAACATATTACATGGTGTTAAATGGAAAATTTATTTTGCCAAGAACTTTTTCATGATGGAGGTTTATAAGGTACCTCCTCTAATAGGTTTAGCCTCACTAATAAGAACTAATCAAACTTTGGAATTTTACAAGAGAATGAAGACTACCAACAGTTTATAAACTAAATAATAAAACTATATAAATACTGCATTATACATATGTAATCATGATTGTTTTAATAATACAAAAATACGCTAATTAATAATACTATAAAACCACCTTTTATAATAAGTTAATTTTTTCCTAATTAAATCAATAATGTGTCGGTAAAATGCATTCATGTTATATCACAGGCTCACCCTCGACCCCACCAATTTCTTTAGGGGTAATTAAAATTATGTGAATAGGGACTTCCCATTCCCCGATCTATCCTTTAAGCAAAGGACATATGAATGTTCTTTTCATCCAAAGCTTCTTCCTTCTATGATTTTCTCAGGATGCTAAAGCTTAATTAAACGTGAAGGGTAGAAAGGCCCCTCCATTAATAAACTTTATACAACTCCAAGAGCTTTTCAACAGAGTTGCTGTTGTGCTTCGTGGCCCCTACATTTGTAATTCTAAACAAAATTTTGATACTTATCGTAATATTTTGTTAAGGAAGATGGCCAGTTAAAGTAAATAAAGCGAGGATGGAAAATATATTGCTTTTCTTTATAGGTGGAGTATTAATTTAACATAAGGAATTCGAATTTGGTACTCAAGCCTTCCAAAAACATAATGTGAACCCAAATTGTTTAATTATTATTTAATAGGGTTATTCACGATTTTCTGAAAGCATAATGTTAACCCAAATTGTTTAATTATTATTCAATAGGAGTATTCATGATGTATGTTAAATAATAACTCGTTTTAACTTGAGTCGAGAAATATCCAGTAATATTGTGAATACCCTCTGTTGATTGGTGATTCAATGGTAAAGTCAGTACATATCTGTTATAGAAAATCAGAAATTTAACTATCAATTATATTATTTCATTAAGAAATTTTACAATAATCTATCACCTCTTTTTTGTTTTATTTTTCATCACTATACTAAAATTTATTTTCAGCAAAACATTATTTCAGTTTGTTAAACCGTCAAAAATTAATATAAATCGAGTTAATGTAAGTCAATAATTATCCTTTTATCCTGTTAATGTGAAGTACCCACAGCCTAAACATACACTTACGTTAACCTTCATCCGATTGCGCATACAGCACTTTTTTTCGCATATTATCCCCTAGCACGCAGTTAAATGCTCAGGAATGGCAGGTATTCTCAAGTTAGACCTTCGACCACTAAGAGGTGTAAGACTTCCGCATCCAATAGGTGCCCCTTTGCATCAGTGCATTTTTAAAGTTAACAGGCTGTGATTTGAAAGCCAAACTGCCATTTAGCGAGCAGAAGCGAAAATATTTTTTCACCACTTGAATTAAGATTTAAATACACATTTCTTTATTATTCAGTATTTTCAATGTTAACCATTTCTTCAGTTGACCAATGTGTGTATATTAGTTCGTATATAATAGTGTTATACTGTTGCTTAGTGTTTGTTTTTTGGCAAGAAAAGAAAAAATACCTCCCAAATTTGTGGCCAAAAAGAAAAGTTAATGGCAGGGGACTGAAAGCCAATATGATAAAGTCTATGAAGAAGAAAGCAGTTGTGGTTCTATCGACCACATGATACTGACTTGGCAAACAAAAACAAACAAAAAAATCATCGTCTACAATTTGACATTTACAAAGTTTTTAATTGGGAAAGCTCAAAAATAAATAACAAACTCAAAACAATGAAAATTAATATCACATTTTCAGTCCTTTGAGTTCCTATTTTTTTACAACTTCATTTTATTACTTTGTACTTGTAAGTTTTGGAGTTTCATGTTACTTTTTGTTATTTTTGCATTTATCCAGTAAAACTTTTTGATTAAAATATGCTTGTGAAGTTGTGTCCGAGATAATTTATCCTAACTATTATGATGTGTGACTAGAAAATGAAAAACCCAATAATAAAAAAGATTGGTGGCCAAACTGCTATTCGAATGAGCAGGAACAGGACACCAGGCCATGCAAGTGGATGAAGGTTAAATTGTTTTCTTTATATTGGTCCCAAATGGAATGACAAAATTCCTACTTTAATAAAAACAAAATTTAAAAAAGAAAGTTTTTTTTTTTTTTTTTTGCAAAGATCATTAAATCTTCGATCTTTAGTATTACAGGAGAGCGTTACATCCTGAAAATAAATTACCCACTTAATTTTACCTGTCTCCTTTTGTATATCAATTATATTATTATAGCACATTTGTAAAGTTATGTAATTTTATAAACCAATTTAGTATAAAAGTATTGGGGTAAAAAAAAGTATTGGTGGCCACAACAGTTAATGCTGACACAGCAGCTCGACTGAATTCAAATCCAACGCACTTCCAAATGGGCCTTTTTCAGTGAAAAAACATTAGTGTAGGGGTGGGGGGATTATCCTCTATGGTTGTGAACCCCGTAAAAAAAACTGATTGAAATTTGTTTTGTGTTGTGGAAACTATTATCCCAGAAATTTGGCCCATTTGCAATGTTCATAAGGTTACTACCATATGTTTATTAAAAGTACTTACCGAAACCATATCTTCAATAGCAAGAGTTGACTTAGACGCCAACATCACCATTCCCATTGCGATCGCTGCAGCCTCACCCGTGACAGCATCGTCTTGGTAAAGATTCATTTTCAACTGATTGTACACATCGGATTTATGTGTGCCCATTGCTGCAAGGCCCAATCCGAGGCATCCGCCATGTCTTACCATCTAATACAAACACAAAAATGAGTAAAAATCGTTGGGTTTCATAAATGAAAAAATCGCATACTTCGTTTTTGGCATCCATAAGCTGTTGGAGAAGGTAATCTGTAATTGCACCACCATGATTGGCATGGATCAACCCCAAAGCATACAAACCACCGCCCTCGGAATAACCAGAGGACGGACCAGGCTCGTTGGGCAGGTATGTGGACATTAGAGCTAATGCCTGGGATTCGTGTCCTCGGTGAATAACTCCAAGTGAAGCGGTTGCTACCAATTTAGCCCAGTTCGTAGCTCTTGCAAGCCATTCTAAATTGTCCCTGAAGCAATATACAATGGTTAATAATAAATTATATACCACCAGTTATTTGAATGTTGAAATTAATATTACTTTTTTGTTTTTAATTGGGATAATTCTATCATCCCTTCATCTATACAATGAATTTAAACTAACATTTTAACATTTTTAATCCATTTACAAAAATTATTTAGTAAAGTTACAAAAGAAATTAAGCTTAATTAACAAAAGAAAGGTCACTCTACTGTTAAGTTAGCATGTTTATACTAAAAATATATTAATTATTTTCTCTGGGTAAAAATTTTCAAATAAAATTAAATCAAACTGGTTAAATCATTGAAAACCAATATCCTAAAATGTATATTAAATCAAAAATCAATAAAATTGGTAATATTTACCTTAGAAATTGGTCACTGGTGGTACCAGCATGCATATAAGTGTTAGCGATCACTGTGGCTGTGTGACAGATTGATACACGAATGGCGTCCTTTGTATTTTTCAATATCAGCATGTCAGTATGATTTGATCTTATAAGAAATTGGAGATGTAGTTCAATGGAAACTTCACCACTCAATATCCTCGTTAATTTTTCTATCCTATTTTGGTACATTTTCTCGTCATCATTCTAGTGTTGGAAATAAAATGCAAAAAAAAATTAAAGTTTCAAATGATAAAAATGTTTTATTAAAATATTATTTCTTACCAAAGTGCTAGGATCTCGCTCTTGAGACGTTGACTCGGCTGCAGGTTCGACAATGCCTTCAACAACTGGGGAGGTGGTGGTGTGAGAAACCTTCGCTCTTGCAAGTGAAGGTATTGGAGCGGTTGCGCTCAAAGCTTGCACAATCCTTCCAACAAGTTGTTGAGTCGCTGATTCATAGATGTCAAAAGCGAGCTGATAGGCCATTAGAGTACTTGTCTAAAATTGTCAATATATATAATTTTTTTTTTTTATTTAGTTCAAATATCTTTTGAGGTTTTCAACACCACATACCTCACTGTCTTTGCAGAGCTTTTCCAAGATCTGGGCAATGGCCATTGTATCATCCAAAAAGATCAGACATTGGACCATGTTGACGTAGTCTGGAACATCAAGCCCTCTGTACAAGTTTACCAAACTTCTAAGGACTGTATTTCGGAAACCACGGTTTTGTAAAAGGGCCATTGATACTTGGAAAGCATACAAAAGCATCGCCGGTTTATCATCCTTAATAAAAAAAAATTAATAAATAAAATATATCTTTGTAAATATGAGCGTAAGACATACCGAAAGCATAATAGCTTTTTCAAAAATATCCATTCTTCTTGTTTCAAGAGCAATTCCAAGAGCCTGTTTGTACTGTCCTTCATCGAGACACCTTTGAAACATCCTATTTACGATGGCTTCAAGTCGATTATCAATGTGTTTGAAATCATTTGGGTTTTCAAGATTGTGCACACTTAAGGTAGTGTAATGGTCAATACATTTGGCTGTAAAATTGAAAATTATTAAAAATAATTCTAAGATAAAATAAATGTATTAACATTTACCGATTATGGTGTCAACATATTCAGATCTAGAGTTGACATCAAAGAGCTGCCCAGCACCCAGAGCATAATTTAAAGAATCTCTGAAAGAGCCTAAGTGGTAATAGACCTTACTAGCTACCAGCGCTGCCATTTCTCGCTGGTTGAAACCTTTGTCCTCATGAAGAACTTCACTGAAAAGTATTAAAACAAACAAAAAATTAAAATTACAAAACACTAGACAATAACAAATCAGCAAAATGGTAAAACATAAAATAATTTGATTTATAATACAGTGATGCAATACAATGTGTTAATACAAATTATTTATATAATAAAAATGTAACTGAATTTTTTTTTTTTTTTGGGTGGGGGTAGCCTGGGAGTTAAACCATGTCAGTGTTAAAATTTCCTTCTTTGGTCTGCGGGGTGCTGAATTTGCCATTCAATCGTAACCAACCATTTACGTCTGCCTATCCTCGCTGAGTTAGTCTGTCAGACACATTTAGTGTACATATTAAACCCAACACTAAATATGGCCAAATACCAAAACAAGTCTGGCAGACGGCTGCGAGGATTGGCAGACCAAAGTAACTGTAAAGATCAAATTGCAATTGCATGTCACTATCATCACAACCAAAATCACAACATTTTATTAAAAATTAATTAAATTAAAGTCTTGTTTACAAATTGTCACAAATTAAAGTTTACAAACCACTACCTTTATAACTCAGCATTGCACAGGGTATAATAAAGTATTAGTTATTTAACACATTATTTTGAGTATACATATTGCTATTGCTAGGTAGGAGCATATATATAAATTAAAGGAACACAATTGTATTTACTCGTGATATTAGATATTTACATATGCAGTATTATTTTTGTTTTGGATTACATTGAATTAAATAGTAATTACTGTTGTATTAGTTTAATTTAATTCAGCATTAAATTCATTGCAATGCTCTTGGATATACGATGTTTTTGGTGAGTCCATTTGATATATATGTGTATATATATATATATATAAATAACAAATCTCTTTGTTTCCTGGAGCATGCAACATGTAATTGTCCATGAGAAAACCATGGACTCACCAAATTCAATCCACATAAATAGCAATGATTGACCTTGCGATTTGTTTATCATTACTGCAAAAGCCAGTTTAATTGGAAATTGCAATAGTCAATTGGAAATTGCAATAGTGAATTGGAAAGGCACATCTGTTCGATTGGTGTTGGGCTGATGCAAAAATAATGAAATTTGAAAAGGCACTCAAAACTATTTTTAATTTTCATAAAATAAAGACAATTTCTTTGAAATATTTTCCATCACAAATTACACATCTTTGCCAACATGTAATAAGCGCTTTTATTCCGCTGACATAAAAAAATTTTATTTAGACTCACAATAAAGTCCTGGAAGGTGTTTTCGGCTTCATCACATTCTCTAAAAATTTTATCCCTCAAGAAATTATCTAAATGCCTAAAAACGTGTAAGTCTGTAAACGAGAGGTTGGGTGAATATGGCGGGTGCGGTAACGTTTCATATCCTTAAGTTTCCACAGAGTTGGCATTGCAACATGTGGCCTGGCATTATCTTGAAGAAAAATCGGCCCCTTTTGGTTTACTAAGAATGGATAAAGACGTTGCAGTTTCTGTGCAATTTGTCAATTTCTTGACAATATTTCTCTGCTGTGATAATTTGACCATAATTCAGGAAATTATAGTGAACAAACCGAACAGCAACTGTAACCTTTTTTCGATGCTGATTTGGTTTCGGGAAGTGTTTTAGTGCTTCATCCTTGTCCAACCAATGACCTGTACGTCTCCTGTTATTGTACAGAATCCATTTCTCATCGCAAGTGATGATTTGATCGAGACAAGGATTATTTTGGTGGTGTAACATGAGAGACATGCAAATTTCAAAGCATTTATTTCATTGTGCTCGAGTTAGTTCATGCGGTACCTACTTGTCAAGCTTCTTTATCAATTTTACTCCAGATGGTAAACAACAATTGTGGGGTCAACACTAAGCTATTCCACAATTTCCCATCTTGTCTTACATAATTTTAATGCAAGTTCTAACACGACCTTCTTGTCTTCGAGATCAAAATCAACAAGACGAAATCTCTGAAACCATCGCTGCACTGTGCATTTTGCTAATGCTCCCCTCCCCCCAAACTGTATTGATGTTATGCATATTGCCACACTTCACCCAAGTTTAAATTCGTACAAATAAATTTGATGAAAACCTAGTTTGGACACATTTAATTTCGCAGGTCCTCACTCTTATAAAATTCAATAAAACTTTTTTTTTTTATTAAAAAATTTTAAAAAAAAGTTAAAAGTATTTATTAAAATCGATAAATTATATTTGACGATTTAGCTTTGTTTACATGACAAGCATCTACAAAAATAAAACCAATTTTCAAAACACACATTAATTCCATTATATTTAGTGGTCTGATTGACCAAATTTACTTCTTTCAATTAATTAATCTTTTTTGTGTAAGGTCTTGGTTGAAATGAAAGTGGTTTGAATCCCGCTCGTGTCACTAACTTTTTTCATTTCAACCAAGGCCTGACATAAAAATATTAATTAATTGTAACATGCATTAATTTTGGATCAACCCAATACATGTTCAATTAGCACATCCTCTCCTTACAATTTTATTAAGAATATTAATATTATTTCAATTAATTATCCTTTTTATTTAAGGTCTTGAATTTGAACCCATCAACTTTGGCTAATTACGCCACCGCTCTAACCCCTTGAGCTAAATCGTGTATTCAATCCACCCGGACACCAACTCCTCATCTCAACCTACAACCTTTCGAATTTTCATTTTTTTAACATATTTTCAAATGTCGTGTAATCAGAATTTGATTCTCAGCAAGCTATGAAGTGGTACGGGGGAGCTGTTAGCGAAGTAATTACTTCTTTAGTTATTATAATAATCCATATATGTTAATTGACCCTAACCTACCCTAACCATTTAATTTAAACTGAGTTCGGTAAACAACGTTTATTAATATTTTACATCATTTACAATTGTTCATGTATACATTACCTGTATACGTGCCTGTAAAAGAAAATCGGTTTTTATAGTTTTTGTCTTTGTACATTAAATAAACGTTCATTTGGAGCACTTTTCTCAATTCTGACGGTTTGGCGGTCACGCCACATGCCGCCGGTAGTTCGTTCTCCTACCTACGCCACTGCTGCCTATAATAAAGATACAACGATGTAATTTGTACCTAACTATCTTTACATCAGCGAAACTAATTCTGTAGGTTTTGCGACTATAATGTATCAATAGTTGTCCAACTATAAATTATTAAGTAATTTTTTTCGACTATAGAGTGTTAGCGTAGTTTTTGCGTCCATTGACTGTCAGCGCCTCCAAATCGGAATTTGAAAAACGCGGGAAGTGTTAAACGAAAAATTATCGTAAAACGGTATTATTTTGTGTAAATCCTGACGTCACTTATTTGTAATACGTGCCTTTTTTTATAGTTTCTAAACACTAATAACAACAAACTGTGAAATTTTCAACGAAATCGGTCTATTGATGGTTAGAGCCTCGAAATCGAAATTCGAAAAAATGTATCATGCCGAGAGACGAAGGGCCTGTCTGAACAGCTGACTACTGAAAAAAACGGACGCACAAATTCCTGAAATCTCACTTTTTTTGTAAATACTGACGCCCATTAATTTATATATCCACTTTATAGACTCTAAACCAGCCTGGCACTAATGAAAACAAAGTGTGAAAGTTTCGTCGAAATCCGTTCAGTTTTCATTTTTTCGATTAGCACACATACGAACATATATATACATACATACACATACACACACACACAGATTATATATATATATATATATATATATANTATATATATTACATAGTTAGATAAATCATTTATTAATCAATTTAATACAGATTTTAAAGATAATCATTTAAACCATGAGAACCGTCTTTCTTGTTTTGTATTATTGTATTACTATCATTTCCGAATTGTAAACTTTGTACAGTAGCAGAAAGATAAATAAATAAATCAAACATTTTCTTTGGTCGCCATTCAGGTTTGAAGATTTTAGCTTGATCAGCATCTGTTACACTAATAAGACAAATTTAAATATTTGAACCAAGTGAGAAAGACTCATAGGGCATGGATACAATGGATGTAGCTTAAGAGATTTTTGGCGTAAAACTTGTCGAATAAATTGAGCTCATATTTTATATATAGTATTCATTATAGTTTAATAATAAACAATGCATTTGCAACACTAGCAGCAGTTCTGGGCCCGAATTCCGGCAGAGCCCGTCAATATTTAATTAAGAACAGAGTGTAAAAGTATTGTAAAGTTGTTTGACCTTATCGACTAGTCCAGCATATATTTTATACATAATAATTATGCATTATTGTTGAATAATAAACAATGAGGACAATGGTGGCTAAGTAGTAGGGCGTCTGACTCATATTTAACATGCTAGTGGTTCTGGGTTCGAATCCTGGCATTGCCTATGGATTTTTAATTAAGAATGGAGTGAAAAAAGATTTTTAAAAATGTTCTAACCACTCATACATAATACTCAGGTTTAAGTGTTAAATCACAATAATAAACAACGGAGGCAACGTTATATTTTAATAATTTTTCATTTATATCGGGAAGCCTGAGAGTTGAACCATGGCATTAGTTTGACAAGAACAATAAAAATTTAACAAAATAGCACTAAATTATGATGTTTGATTAAACAATTTTATATTTGGCACTATATCATGCATCTTAACCATGGTGTTTGTTTTAAACAACATATTATAACTGAAAAAAAATTATACTTTCTATAACATAATTAATCATTTACTGTTTTGGCTGTTGAGTGTTATCGAAGGTTAGATTTGAAAGATGATGAAGTCAAATGTACTATTTTGCCCATCTTTACCTACAATTTTACCTAATGTACTTAGTAGGCTGTAATGTCATTAATCTAAGTGTTTATTTTGTAATATTGGTTGTGATGAAATGTTTATCTATTAAAACAAATTTTGCTTAGGGAAGGTTTTGGGTCCTGAAATTTTGAAAATTGTCTGCCTATAAATCTTTGGACTTAAAGAGAGAAAGAGTTTAAATTTTCAACACTTAATCAGAATGAGAGATAAGATTGTCATAAAGTGAAAACTTACATTTTCTCAATAGCTTCAGAAATTTCCGGCCAGAATTCGTCGACTATCAGGTTGAGCTTCTTCAGGGCGAACTGCTTGAGCTCGGGCATCGGCTCCTCCAAAAGCGATATGATACCAGCTAAAAATAAACAATTTCAAATCAAGGGTAAGTTTTTTAAAAGTCGATATCGGCTTGAATTTCAAAAATGACTCGGCCTATATACAGAAAATAGGTTTATAACGTATAAAAACGCCTCGCGATACGTGAAACAAAAATTGTTTGCACACAAGCAAGGGGATGACTTGTATATTTAGAACGTAATTGTTAGTAAATAACGCCTATGTTAAAAAGACATTTGTACTATTAGTTAGAATGGGTTCGTGCTGACCTGCAGAGGTGATATTCATCTTGGAAAACTGGAATTTACTTATTTAACGCGAATCAGAAGAAACGAACCGAATTGAATGACTGTTTCCTCGAGAGTGAACTCACTCGGTGACTCCGGGTTTCAACCTCAAGGCTAGGTTTGTTCCCAGGGCTGACCCCTTCCAACGGACTTTCCGACCGACAAAATACAAATACACAAAATCACTCACAGACTTTCAATAACAACTTTTTAAATCTAAATCCAAATAAAAAAAATCAATCGTCGTTAATTATACAAATATATTTCTTGTAACTGAATTCAAAAAAATATCGAAGGGGGGGAGAGGCAAACTTCCTACAAGTCATGGTCTAAACAGATAAAACTCGCATTAAAACAAATTAACTTAATCTAAAGTATAAATCTTCAAATATTTAACAAAATACTCGTTAGATTTATCAATATTTTGTGATATTGAATCGGTTGGTTTATGAATAGATCAACTGAGACCACTCACAATTTAACATTTCATATTATTTCTACTTAATCAAAGACATATTATTTACAATTGATCATCTGTCTTTCATTGAAAGAAGCAATGTCTAAAGTGTCATATATATCAATCACTGTTTTACACAGGTTAATGCATAATCTGGATCTCACACTATGGTCTGGATGAAAATGGTAAAGGTTGGGTGAGTATGTAGATTCACTTTCTGTAAATGATGGTTCTAGAAACAGAATTGCTGTTTACAACAATTCAGTTTTCAAGCATTAAGCAATCATCGTTATTATTTATTACATTTTTTATTTAATTATTTTTTGAATTTCTTGACACCCTCCAAAGAAAAAACCATCTATATTTCTAAGAGGGTGGTACAAACAAGCTCTTACTAATTATTCATTTATAAAAGCTCAAATCTGGGCATGCATACATGTGTAAAAAGTTCAGCTTATCACTTCTCGCAGTCCACTGGCAATTCCAGCTTTTGTCTTTTCATTGAATTACCAGCAGGTCTTGAGAATCACCCACCCTGGGTTTTGGCAATCTGGGGACAGGTCTTATCCATCCAGCTGGTTGGGTGCTGGGTGCTATCAACAGCTAGGACATTTAAGCACCAAACACAATCAGCTCCTAAATCCAATAATTTAAATACATTCTTACTTACCAATCAATTAGTGTGGTGGAGTACTTGATATTCCTCCGTCACCCTTTACACTTTTATATAACTAATGAAATTGATGGTCTCAACATTCTGCTATCGACCCTCTCATACTACACATTCATGTTAATATATACCTTCACCCACACAAATAATGATAAAACCCTATCATTATTATACTCCAAGAATCAGAAAAGGGACCCAGAAACTCGCTGTCATGTTCAAGCACAATTCTCATATCAGGTGGCATTGAACGCTCATGGGACACATTGAGCAACCTTTCAAGGCATGCTGGACACATACATGGGCTTTGCCCTAAACGTAAGTGTCCATGTGTCAATCTTGCGTGGCCTATTCATAATCATGTGAGGAGGACCCTTCTTCTACGAGACAAATCCCTCAAGGGCCACCTATCAAGTCCTTTTGATATGCAAGAGCTTCTCTGCTACCCAGCCCACCGACGCTGGCACTTTCTTTTAATCATGTTTTTTATTGCAATTTTCATTCATTAGTGGTTAAGTCCAGCGGTTGGGACATCCCAGCCTTAGCTACCTCAATCACTTTTTCGCTACCTTCCAGATCCATGTATAATCTGTTTTATTATTATTATTAATGAATTCATTTCCTCTGCCTTCTAAAATGATTAATTTTCTTGTTGAAAATGAAATTTTGGTTAAGTGAACCTTGTAAACACTCAATAAGTCCATTACATTTAAATTTAACTTGTTCTAATACTTTGAACACATGTTTATTACATTTAATTAATGTTGTTATTGTAATGATAATAAAAATGAAAACAAAGTTTATTACAAAAGCCTTGTAATAGATGATACCTGTAAGATTAATTGGTGAGTATATAATATGTATCTTTTTTTGGGCCCAACCCTGAATTCCGAGACTGGAAAACAAGGTCCCACAGGTTTTTTTTTTATCGGACTATAGTAATATAATCTATTGATCAGGCACCTTCTTATGATAAATGAAATATTCCAATTAAAACCATTAAACAATAGAAACAAAAGATTCTTTATGTACTCAAATATTTTCTATGAAAGCCAAAGAACGAATTTGAAATCTTTTATATTAAACCCTATTTAAATGTAAAATTAATTTTGCTCCATATAATTTAATTTATTCTTTATACTGAACAAAAAATAAATTTAAGAATCTTTGATTACAACCTATTTAAAATAAACTTGCAATTTTTTAAATCAAATTTAATTCATTTTAGAAAAGTAAAATTAATTTTTTTTTGTTATGATCTATTTTAAAATAAAATTACACTTTTTATCACAACTGTTAAATCAAATGTCATTTATTTAATTTTTCAGTATAAAAATATAAAGTTTGTTGCAAACTTTTTCAAAACTAATATACTATTTTTATTTTTTGGTTTTGGTTGGTCAAAATTTAACTAACTTCATTCATGGGCACAGTTATTATTTTCTTTTACAAACAGCTCCTTACCCAATGAAGGGCAGAAAAGGAATGCCCTTTTCTTGTCCCTACTCCTTTTGTCACCGCCACATGTGTGTGTGTAGGGACAGGCGGTACATTTAAATCTAAACGTGACACATATACGATCTCAGAAAGGAAAAAAGAATTGAAAATAAAATTTTCACTTTCTGATAATGCAATTGTTCCCTTTTATCTCTGCTATCTGCCTTGAGACAGCTCCTCTGATAATTTTTTTTTAGAGTTCTAACCAAATCTCTTCAAATGTGTATCAACAGTGTCCGTGAGAGCCGCCTTAAAAGAACTGCTCAGTATGTCAGAGAATGCCTTAAAAAATCCATGCTGCATTGAGGATTATGAAAAAATAGCCTGTAACAAACTGCCAAAATATGCCACAGACTATTTTAGGTCAGGAGCGTGCGGCGAGTACACACTCAGATTGAATAAAAGAGCTTTTGAAAGTTGAGTAAAATTTTAATGTCTTTGCAAAGTTGAAGTTTTGTCAGTATATCTAATTGCATTACAATATCCAGGCTACGAATACGACCGCGAATGCTCAGAGATGTTTCTTGCAGATCGACAAAAACTACAATCCTTGGATCAGAAGTTGCAATCCCTATTGGAGTTTCACCAACTGCCATGCAAAAAATGGCACATCCTCAAGGCGAATGCGCAAATGCCAGAGGTGATATTTTGTTGTACAATTTATTTTTTCTTAATTTTATTTATTTATTTTTGAAATCACAGCTGTTGGAAAGACTGGGTCTGTATTTATTCTGTCAACGTTATCAACAACAAGCATTGAAGATGTTGAAGAAGGAGCTCCAGACACAATAAAATGGTTCCAATTGTATATATACAAAACTAGGTATTTGTTTACTGTTATTATTTTATTTTTTTAAGTGTTGAGTGCTCTCAGTACAATTAAACACCTTCTGGAGATATTAGTTTTAAAATTAATTGTTACTTAACAATGGTGAAAATGAAAAGGAAAGCAATTAATTTGAAACTGTATTATTTGAAAAATATTTATGTGGAAATTTTGAAAAAATTACAATTTATTTTTCCGAATATATAGAGGAATAACACAAAGTTTAGTTAGTAGAGCAGAAGAAGCAGGTTTCAAAGCATTAGTTCTTACAGTGGATGCTAGTATTTTTGGAAAAAGGTACGCTGACGTACATAACAAATTTTGCCTCCCGTCAAATTTAAAGTAAGTCAGTATATAAAAATAAAATAAATGAGATAATCATGCTGGCGTGTCCAACAGACTAGCCAATTTTAACAATGACTCTTTCTCAAAAATGGCCGAGTCCGATTCCGGCTCAAGCCTGACCGACTATGTCAATTCCCTTTTCGACGACACACTCTGTTGGAAGGACGTCGAATGGCTCAGGAGGTAAGCTGGTTAATTTCAAGAGAGAGAAAAAAAACTTACACCTCTGCCTTATATTTTTAGCATAACAAAACTTCCAATCGTATTAAAAGGCATATTAACAGCGGAGGATGCCAAAATTGCCACCAGTATAGGAGTCGATGCAATTATGGTATCAAACCACGGTGCTCGCCAGCTGGACACTTGCCCTGCAGCGGTATTTTAACATAAAATTTATAATTTTCTCTTTTAAAATTAATACACAAGACTATTTATTTGTGGTAGTTTGATTTTTAAATATGCCGTTGGAAATTGTTAAAATATTACATTCATACCAATTTGTTTTGTCCTCACTAATTTGTTGTGTTTATAACACAACCTTGTGCTCCCTTTGAAATTTATCTTTATCTTGATAGCCATATCATTTCATTTGTTTTTTATATAACTTTATCAGGATTTTAACATTGTAGCAGTTAATTTTAGACTTGTTTAAACCTAAAAGGAAAAAAATATTGAGATTATAGTAATGAGATACTGCTATAATTGAGAATCTCTTTGGTAAAAAAAAATCATAGTAAAATTCAAATCATATACAATTTTATCATTAATTTTGAGTTAAGTGGTAATATTTGACAAACCATACCTGAAGTGTTGAGGCAATTTAAAAAAAAAAATTAATGTAAAACAAATATTATGTTCGACTGAATATAAAGCCGAGTAAACAGCATTAATATCTGGAACAGTCTTAAAGAGTAAAATATCGTTGTTTCACTGCGTGCAAATCTCAGCCTTCAAAACATTTTACATCAATTATTTGCAAAAAATTATGCAATTGTCTGAAAAAGACGTCAGATAGTGATATCAGGGTTTTAAGTGGGGTGAGGCACTGACCACGGTATTTCTGTGAAATTGAGCAGTCAAAACCAAACACATTTTAATATTGCAGCATTCAATACAGTAGTCCAAATTTTTACTTTCTCAAGTTCCATAATGTTCTCTCTGTTCAATGAATTCCACCCTGGAATAATCTTATATAATTATCAGACTGAAAGAATATATCAAAAGCAATATTTAAAAAAAAAAAAAAACTTTTTTTAAGGTGATGTTTCAACGGTCACTTCATAATTTGTGGTTTTCCTCAATTCCTGCCTTATACACGTTCACTATTCTAGACAATTTCTTTCTATCATCTCATGTCCAGCACCCACTTATTTTATTTCCAGGGCATCTTTTCTACTGGGATTTTATTTTGTGCTTTTTCTTTCCCAGATTGAAGTACTCCCTGAAATTGTCAAAGCTGTAAATGGTCAATGTGAAATATACCTTGATGGGGGAATCCGGTTTGGAACCGATGTCTTCAAGGCTCTCGCTCTTGGTGCTAAAATGGTAAGTTCAAAAATGTAAAGGTGTGCCTTGATTATAAAAAAAAATATTTTATTTAATCCCCCAAGGTTTTTATTGGGAGGCCAGCGGTCTGGGGCCTCGCATCTGATGGTGAAAATGGCGTTAAAGCAGTCCTTGACATCCTCGGGAATGAATTCAGCCAAGCTATGGCATTGTCAGGTAATTAATCAAAGAAAAAATAACCGATGTTACGGCTGCTGATCAAAATGTCTTTTGCAGGCTGTAAAACCTTGGACGACATAAAAAAGGAGATGGTTGTACATGAAAGCATATTTGCTAATCTGTAACATTTGTCTTATGCTCTACATTTTTATTTCTTTGTGATGCAGGGGAAAAAAATTTTTTTTTCATTGCGTGTAATTTTTCCCAAAAGTTAATCTGAAAACAAAAGTTCACAAAAATGGGAGATTATGAATCAGAATCAAATTCCAAATAGCTAATTTATTGTGAGATGAGAAGGGAACACATTGTATTAATATTAAAATATTGTTAAACAATATGTAACAAAATCAATAAATAATATTTACAAATATGTACTATAAATAAATTTTAAAAAATGACAAATTTATTTAACATTCCAATTTATAAAAATAGACCAAACATTACAATTTTGTTTTTGAAATTTCATTTTAATTTATAGAGTTGATGAGGAAGAACAAACATAAGAAAAATTGGATTTGATGGATTTTAAACAGCCACATGTCACCACAATTTATAAATATCAATTAAGTAGGTACAAGGTGCTTATTTTAAAAAGAATGCCCCACAAAAGATGGCATACCTATCAAGTAGTATTCACTTAGTAAAACACAAGCACTCAAGATACAAGTTGAAACCCGTAACGAGAAATTCACATCACAGCGTTTTTTGCTATTCCTTCAGCATAATTTAGAAATACTTAATATATATATCACAAATTAATGCGGTTGAAAAAAAAAAAAAATTAAAAAACCTTGCTAAGAAATTTTAACATCTTTACAGGTACATGGAGGAAATAAATTAATATCGAGTTATTAAAAAAAAAATTATAACTGCACAATCAGAATATGATCTGATTCTTTATCAATTTGAAACATGCTGTGTAACAATTTCAGTACAAAAGCTTAGTTAAAAAGGCAATAGTTAGTTATTTATTGCCCTGAAAGACTGACAATGGGTAACTGTTTTGCCATATTATATTTTTTTCTGGTCTAATATAAAACCATCAATTTTTCAACCTTTCCTGGACATAGCACATTTTCCATATAATTTAAACATACAAGACAACAAACAGAACTTTCAGGGTCATAATCATAATTAATGAAAAAAAAAATATAACACTTTTTTACACATCTTTAGTTTTGAGGCACTTTCTATTACTACGCAGTATATTCTACATATTTTATTGTTAGTAGAATTAATTGCTAACAATTGTGATATAAGACCACTCAAATAGAAAATCACTTTCAAGTCACATAAGAAAACACTTTCCATGACTAACTACAACTTAACGTGTAACCTCTAATATTTACCATTATTTATTGGGTAGCATTGTGTAATTGAATATAACAACTTAAAATAAAGCTAAGCTAACACCCTATTCCAAATTTAGTTTGGAAACCAGCAACCTTAAAAACCTATGAGGACATTTAACATAAAGTAGTTGTCTTATATTTTTCTTTCAAAGAAAAAAATATGTCACGACTGCATGAAAGTATCTTCAAGTAAATTTGCTTTTAACTTACGAAATAAAAACAATCAAGATTTCTTGGAATAAACCAATAAACTGTTGTCACAGTGTTATTAAATGTGAGAAATTTCATTTAAATATTAGAATTTTTTTGAAGTGTTGTTTTGCTTAAAAAATAAATGTGTGACAATAATTTAATATCAATTGATAAGCAAAAGTACTGGAAAAAAAGCCCATGCTACTTATAAAATATAATTCAAATAGTCAAATTGCCTATAACAATAAGTGCCAAAAAATTTTATTTTCATCACAAGCGATGACGCAATTGTTATAAGCATTTAATATTAATACAATAAATAAAGAAATGTGCTTCATAGGAGGCTTGTTTTAATAGACGTCATTTTATGACGAGAGCTAGTTCAATGAGAAACCGCACATTATGTTTTATATAAGTTTCATAATTCTCTGATACGTCAATTGTTACTACAAAAATACCACTCAAATAGAAGTCTTCATTTCTAGTTGGACTTGGATTTGATTATATTTTTTAAAAATCCTAGTGGTAATTTACTTTACAAATTAGATTAATAAATAAGAAATCCTATTCCTTGTTCAATATTACCCTAAAATAATGATGATAACCAATAATAATGTCATAATTAGTAATAATCATAGTAAAATTAATTTTCATATTTTTTTATTGCATCTTATATGTACATCTTGGGAAATCTTTCACCAGAAAGCTAAAACATAACCATTAAACTGTTCATCGAACTTGTTTAAGACAACGGTTTTGTCATCCACCCACATGGATACTACTTTGTCCCGAAAGAAAGTTTGCATTTGTTCTGCTTTCTTCCAATCCCATAGTTGCAACGACATTGAAGTGTTAATAACTATGAGGTTGTTCATTACCGGCATCATGTCGACAACCTTCCCATTCAGCTTGAGACTGTAGTCCACTTTAGAAGGTTGCACCAGTTCCTGTATATGAACCGTTACATCATCAGAAAATATGATTTTATCATCGGACGTCAGGATTATCGGAAGATGTTTGTCTGCGAAATATGTGTACATTTCTTCCTGATTTTGTATGGGCCAGACTTGAAGTTCACAATTTTTCATATTAGGTTCCGTAGAGATTTTTGCACATATAAAATTTCTAGATACCGTCAATTCACAAGCTTGTGTATCGATTTCAAAAGTGAGGGTCCACGCACCTTCAACAGTGTCGTAACATGAAATGAAGTGGTTGTTATTTACCGTATAAGTCAAATACACCTTTTCTTCAAAAATTTTAATGAAATGACATCTAATACAAGCCTTTTCTGGTGTCACATCCACTTCTTTTTCGAGAAAACCAGAAAATATGTTGTAAAAAAATAATTTACATGGATGCTTGTTATCTAGTATGACAATGTACCGACTTGTAAACTTAAGAGTCAGGCGACTTGAGTCTTGTAGTGTATTAATTTTGTGATTGCACTTTGAATTCTTGACTTTGATATTATACACACATTCATAAGTATTGCCGTTTTTCCTCATGCAAATAATGTAACACTTCTGTACATAAATTAAAAATTCTTTCAGTATAAAAATAGAGTCAACTCGAAACTCTGAGTGGGCCACAGGTATTCGCATTTTCTTTCCTTTATTATCAATGTCAAATAATTCAATATTACTCGAATTTGTGTTTGCAACCATCCTGTCCTTATAATAAGTCACTTTGAAACCTGTGTGTAAAACCGTAAACGTACCGAAACGCCAATTCTCCTCGAGATACTTGTACTTCTTGAAGTGACTCCTCCAATGGCAATCTGGGGACAGCCGCTGCGAGAAATCGTCAACTCCTCGAAACGCCCTCAATGGATTGTAGACAAGACTTTTTTTGAGATATTCCTTGTTGTGGATACCCACTACTGCGCTCAACCTTGACCAAATTGAATTGCTGTTTATTATTTCCCTCCATTCGGTCGATACTTTAGAACAATTCCCAAGATCTGTGAGTCCTAGGTATGAAAAAATTTGTTCTAATATCTCTACTGGAATACAATCCATTAGGCTCTGCAACAAACAAAAAAGAACAACAACTCATATTATCCCCTGGTGTACTGATGACAAATTTTAAAATGCTGCCTGGGTGAATCAAAACCACTTGATTTGAACACTTCAATTTTATGATTGATCTAAAGACAGTTCAATAAAAAATAAAACTCGAAACCATTTTGATAATTGAATTGTTTAACTGACATACGGCTGAAACATCGATAATTTCATTGTGATCGCACAAATAGAATATCTTCATTCAATTAACTATGTCAAATGAATCGTAAGAATTTAAAACAAACTATTTTACTGGTACAAATCATAATAAACAATTAATTCCCCCTCCATTATTTTGATTCACCATGTAGCAACAAATCCATTATATTTAAGTAAGGCTTTCAAAATTTACAGAACGTTGTACACCTTCACTAACTAAACAAATAAATTTTAAGGACACTGAAAAACTTTTCCTACAGATTAATTAAGTGGCAATTGTATTAACAATTCAATGGTTTTTTTTTCAGATATTCAAGGATAATGAAAATCATTCATTAGAATTTAAAAACTGGATTTATTAGCTGTTTCATCCTTACAAAAAATGTCTACTTACTACTTTTTTCTTTTTTAATAAGCTTGCTTGTAGGTGCTTTTTCTTCTACAAACAGATTTAGCAGATAATCTCAAGCTGATAACTCTGTTTTCACAGTTCATTCATTAAAATAATAAATTTAGCGGTGGTCATTGAAATATTTAATTTGTAGTCAACCTTTACAATTATAATTAACTGATTAAACAGCTGATATTAGTTCATCAACTCGCAGACTACTAACCAAAAAATTAACAATTAAGCACAATTGTATACAGGGTTCATGTAAAACAGTTGTAAAAATAAAGCAACAGTCCATGTGATGAAAATAGAGGATGTGGATATACTGGATGGAAGAGGGTTGAATATTTACAAACATGCACTGTGAACAAAGCAAAACAGACATAAATGCACAAAAAGACAGAAAACTGTAAATACTATAAGTTAAGATTGTATGTGTTTAAATTAGTAATAAAATTTTGACCTTAACTACAAAATTTTCTTTGGTTAATCATGCGATACAAGTTAATCCTAATACAAAACAATCCAAATATGTATCAAGATATATATTTAATTGTTTTTAAATTATTTAGTGGATCAAAGAGGATTCAACTGATTCATTAATGTACAAGTAACAAAAAATTATAAACTAAAAATGTATGCTAAGGGGAAGAAGACTGGTAATCAGTTACTTACAAGAACGTTTTTTTTTGCATGTTTAGAATTAGGAGGATCTCCGCTATCTGGGGCTGATCTTTTGATCCCTGCGAAATTGATGATTGGTGATAGTGGGCAATTCAAATATTCATCAGACATGTTGTCGTCATCATCACCACCCAAATTGATTATCATTTCCTTTTGGACAACCTCCATAGAATGACTCCTCTTCACCAAAACAGTTGCCACACGAGTTGAAGAGTGAAGGAACTCGGGACACTGTCTGTCATAAATTATCGGGATTAGGAAAAAAAAGAGATTGCCCCATGCTGATTTAAAACTATTTTCCATTAAATAAAAACTGAACAGGCTTTTTGTTTTTAATATTAAATTTTGATGTCAAAGGATATTGTTCTCCAAAATGAGAAATTCTCATATCAAATTTTAAAATTGTGATGGTGAGATCTATTCTTTAGCAACTTATAACTTTTTAATTCATCTATGATACCATCAAAACTGGACTAGAGTACAATTTTTTTTGCAAAAATATATGGTGATTAGTATATCTGCAAGTGGATAAACTTATGCTGTATTTATTAAAGTGACATTTTTCTCTTCTGATCCGTATATAAAATATTGTAATATCGCCAAATAAATATGAAAAACCAAGTTCTACAGAACAATCTAAATACAAACACACCCGTGATAATTTAATTTAATTGCAATCTATTACCCCTAACAGGTTTTAAATCTGAAATTAGCACTAAGCATAAAATAATGATTAAAACACGTATCTATATATGTATAGTATATTGTATGCATCAAGAAAGGTTCTATAGGCGTAAAATTCAATAAAAAATTCATAAGCAAAAATGCAACTTAACTTAATACACTAAACAGCAAAAACTTATTAACAAGGTTCTATTTTATAATTCTTCAAAAACATCAGCATTGAGAAGGACTGAACAAAACAATAATTTTCAATATATTTATTTCAATTATTATTCCTCAGTAAACTTGCTATTTTTTTAAATAATAAATTATGGGTAAATTATTTGTTTTTTATTTTAACAAAAAATTGTAATATTGTTAATCCAGCTTTCAGGATATCAAAAATTCAATTCTTCAGCAATGTAAACTATGACTGGGATTTAGTTAGAAAACCATTCATTGTACACATCATTAAATAGGAAAAATAATAACTTTATACATCTATCATTAGATATTCTTGTTAATCTTTGTTTTTTGGCTTTATTTGTATATAACTTTGTGTTAATTAAAGCAAGAAACTGTCAAAAAAAAAAAAAAAAAAACTTGCCAAGAAAAGTGTTAGTTGAAGACAGTTAAAAAAACAGTAAACAATTAGTAATTTCACTGTTCATATGGTTCAATGACAAACTACAAATCCCAAAACGTAAAAAGGACAAAAGTATACAGTTTGACAAAAAATACAACTTATTAAGCAGTACACACAATTTCTCGCATTAAGCATACTATAAACAGCACAAGACTATTTATCCAACATTTCCAGCATCTGTTTTTTGTTTATGTGTACATACACAGTGGAGAGACACATACAAACAAAAAACAGAATTATTCCTTGACTCCACACCATCATAAATCAGAAAAACTCCAGCATATATTTTAACAATAATAATGACTATTTTCTAAGGAAGTGCAAAGATTATCTTAATTGTGCTCTGATTTATTATCACACTTTCCTGTGCATCCATTCTTTTATCCTCCACAACTTCCACTAATGAAATCTTTCCTATTAAACTACTAAAAATAAAAACACTTATCCAACAGGGTTTAACTCTTCTAGATAAATAATAGACAGAATAAAATAAAATGTAAAGATGCCTCCTCCCACTGGCTTTTAAAGAATCAGTATCAATAACCAGAAGATTCTGCATTCATGTACCAACTCAACCTCCGCTTTTACCAACAGGCTGAAAAGTCCTGAGGCATAGGGGTTTTCAAGTAATTTCACTAAGATAGTCTAAACAGTATAATCCTGTCATTGCTTTTAAAGGCCAAAGACAAGGATCTCCTTGCAAGATTTGAAAGGAAAATAATCTCAGAATAAGTGGAAGCAGGAAGAAACGCAGAATTTTACAGGTTTTTTTATGGTAAAGAGAAGTATAAACCATAGATACTGTAATTCAGGGAATAGCTCTTGAGAGGCGCAGTAAACATCTTCTGGGGGGACCGCGGTAGCCGAGTGGTTAGCATGAGAGACTCTCACGCTGCGGTCGTGGGTTCGATTCCCACCGTCGCCTCTGGCCCTTTTTTCCCGATAACCCCCAATTTGAACGCACAAGAATTCGTACTATGGCTAATATGCAAGATCATAAGGCAAAAAAAAAAAAAAAAAAAAAATCTGAATAAAACATTCTATGATCTATCTGTAAATCCAGAAGAGATCAAACAACCAAACTATGAAATCAATGTAAAAATAATCAACAATTCATGCAGAAAGTGCTTGCATTATTAGACATAATTTGCCAAATATTTAAACGTTTTAACACTGAGAGCTCAATGGACATCCGCAAAGATGCACACTAATGAACTTGGCATGTATAAATTCTAACAAAATTCATAGATGAATATATTCTACAATGGTCTTGATCAATACAAGCCAGAAGGCTGCAGTGCTTGGAATACAAAACACCAATTTCTGAACGTTCCCTTATAAATCCATAAGAGGCCAGACAGCTAAGGCCGGAAACAGAGACTAACAATGTTAAGACAATCTTCCGATTGTCAAAAATAGCTGAAATCATTTGTCAAAAAGTTTGTATGACTGTTTAGAGTAGGAAAAAGAAGACAAATTGTCTAACCTAAATTAAACCTTTAATTTGACCATGGCTGATCATGTTGGTCTGCCTATCCTGCATAGTTCTGTCAGACCAGTTTCGGCATTTCATTATCTTCAGAGTTTGTTCTGTGTTATTATTGTCACAGACCAAATACAAAAGATGATGGAATATGTCTGACATACCAACCCAGCGAGGATAGGCAGATCAAGATGATTGGTAATGATAAAATTACATGTTCATTACTCTATAAACCACAGGAGGAAATCTTGCAATGTGTTATTAAATTTCATAGTTTGTCATCCTTGACCAATTCCTGGTACAGATGAGACCGCCATATTTATCTTAGACCTATGGCACACATAGCGGTTTTGACCGAAGCGTTTACTGAGAGGAAAACCGAGTAGGTGGGTCATTAAGAAATGTTGAGAGTGGGACATGACAGACGATGAGATTGTGTCACCTGGTGGTTTTGAAATCAAGTTGGTGGGTCAAAGAGATGTCCCCCCGAATCAGTTTTGAAAGCGTTTTTCCTGGAATGGTTGTGTACCATCAGCCGTGCCACACATATCTGTTTTACACCCAACTAGGCGTAAACCATCTGTTTCAATTTTTTTTTTTTTTTTGCCTAGATTCCTAATTGAGTACAAATTATTGAAATGTCCTTTTTTCTGTCTTTTTCCCACAATCGGATGATCCAATATTCCACTGTTTTTCGTCTTTTTTCCATTGATAATACAACAGGGACGGTAGAAATACTCTTCGACGGTTCTTCCACAATTGCACTAATAAACAATAATATATTGTACTGTATTGACAAAATTGGAAAATGAGACTAGTTGGCTCCTTTGAAATAACTGACAAGATGCAGCTAGTGAAACTGCAGCATCTGTCAGCTGGAGAAAAAAAACTATTGTGTTAAATGCTTCAGTCAAAACTGCTACGTGTGTCATAGCCCTAATGATTACAATTTTGGTGTCTCCTTGTGCACCACATCCTATTTGCATATCTCTTCAATAAATGACGCTTTCATTTATTAGACAAATATTACAAAATAGTATATTGTGAAAAAATCAAACAAATCATATGTTAAAAGTTTTCTATAAATAGTATTACAATGCTATAAATGTACAAAGCACTTGGGAATAAAATAAATTTACTGAAGGGTTTTGCATTTGGTAATGCAATTATGGTGTAAAAAATGCATGCAGCCATGAATAAGAAGCAGAATGGACAGTAAAAAATTATAAACTGGATGAACTAAACTAATAATATGCTTGTATTTTATTTGTTTGGGAATTAGTTTTAAAAAAAGAATATTGTATGGAGTGTACTCTGGCTAATAATAAATTAATTTAGCAAGGTGAAAATTTTGCCAATATGGTACTTGCCCAAGCTGATAAGGGGATTTGTTTTATCATTGTACCTGTGTGATATTAATGATATAAGTTATCATCAGTGATGAACTCACGAATTTCAAAGACCTACAGTGAAAAATGTGCCATGCTGAAGGTTAGGTGACTAGGTTCAAACTCTCCCATACAGATGTGAACCACACAGGCTTATACTCGGCACGGATTATCTTCAATTTTCAGGGCTAAAAAAGGTCCAAAATCCGTTTTGGAAATGTCGAAGGTCTGAGGGAAGACGGCGAATCGTTTTTTCGTCGGAGAGTAGCAAAATGTGATGGGACGACAACAGCCTTGCACAGACAAGAACCACTCTTGAAACAACAGGTACGATCTTGTCAGGTCTAGACGTCGTCAAGACTTTTAGGGCCTGTTTATTACCCGGTGCCCTTTACAGCTAGGGTTCGACGTACAGTGAACAAACAATCTTTCTCCATTTTGTTTACAAAGGGAAGAGGAATTCGTCCCTTCTACCGACCCTACCACACTTATCTCTTACAATGGTACATTTCTCACTTACCAAAATATTCGCTTTCTTTCATTAATTCCCGTTCTTGATTTTGGACTGATTTTCATTAAAATAAGGCACCGAACAATTTTATGGAGGAGCGCGTAAAGAAAACTTATAAAAACTTCTGCCCCTTTTTAACAGTCCGACTGACGTTATCTGGACAGCGTATAACCCTACAAATTGCGAACCTCTTTGCAAGCTGGCAGGACAGTGTTGCCAATTCATTCGCCGAGTCGAACGGTGGATCAGCGCCACCTACCGGCCAAAAGCGGCTTCAAAACCACCATCTTTTCCTTTATGCAAGAGGATACGAAAAGGATTTTTGTAAGAATATTCAAATTTGTCTAAAAAAATCTGTTAAAAGTCTAATAATGTGTCTAGTTCTCCTTCTCTCAGACGTTTTTGAAGGTAAGAATATCATATTGATAAGTAAAGCTTATTTAAATTTGAACTCTTAATAATTCAGACATTAACATAATTCAATCTCTTCTATCGTTTCAATAATTATCCTACCCTAGTATTACAATTATGCTCATCCTTTACATTACGCAGTTTGTTATAATTAGCATATTTAACTGCATATAAGGCGAATTTAAAAGTAAGAAAAACGTGTGGTGATTAGTGACCGTTAGTCGATAATTATTCAGAAATCGTGAGATGCGGTCTGGTGTGATGTAGGTTTCAGAAAAATAATTTCTTTATCGTGCGACGTTTCGATCTTTATTGAGATCATCTTCAGGGCCTGGGATTTACAAACATTGTTTAAATTTAACAAATACATGTAGGATGTGGAAAAAAGTGAATTTATACAATGCAAAAAAATATATATATATATTTTTTTTTTACTTTTACAAGAAGAAGTAAGAAAAATACTCAGTTCCTTCATCAAGCTTTCAAGAAATATATCCCCCTTCATCAGTGATATTTGATTGTAATTTTAATGATTTACATGTTTAGCATAAATTTAATATAAATATCTATTTATAATATAGCAATCCATATAAGTTTAACAGTCATAATTGACCATATTAATTATTTAAATTAATTATTTGTTTTATCTAAGGTCTAGGTTGAGATGGAAAAGTTGTCATGAGTGGATTTCGAACCCACGATCTTCGGTTAAATACGCTGCTTCTCTAACCACTTGAGCTATCGTGACTTCGATCAAAGTTGAAGGTCGTTGGTTCGAATCCCACTTGTGACGCTAGATAAAAAAAATAATTACTTTTGCTTAATAAAGCCTTCCACCACTCCAATCCAAGGAGAAGCCAGAGCAGCAGTTCACAGGCTCGTAAATGGGCAACCACCAAGGCACCAAGGAAAGTTATCAGTTTTATGAGGAATAGCACATTTTCCATTGTACGGCTAAAAGTTATAGGGGTTCCACAGTAGACCATTATAGTCGCAGTGGAGGAAATAATTGTCTTCTGCATATTTCATACAAGGAGAGAAAAAAGATAGGCCATGTTAACAAACAATAGATACTGAAGGAGGAGTTACAGACAGATCTAAGTACAACTTTACTAATAAGTACAAGCGAAAGCAACAATACCAAAGCGAAGAGTGAGCCAAAAGTCTGATGGTCAATTGTTACTGGTATACTGATGGCTCAAAAGCAGAAAGAGGCACAAGCATTGTATTCTTTGGTGTGAAGACTGAACTGACTTTAAACTTAGGTAAATAGAGGTTTCCAGTATGAAAATTGTAATAATTGAATACAACACCAGAGAAGTAAAAAACTGGGAACACATTCCAGGATGATAGCTATTTTCTCTGACAGTCAAGAAGCACTTAGCCTCATGCGAGGTAAAGGTGATAAACATATAGAATAGTACGGAATCTCTGATCTCTGCCAGAAGTCGGTGACACCAATGGCACTGTGGCATTGGTCCCTGGGCAATGAGAAAGTCGTCATGTGGACTCATGATAGTGCACTGCCACCTAACCAGGAACATGCATCATATAGGGGTACTGACATAAAATAAATAAACACTGTGCAAATACTGCCAGGAAGAAGAGGAGAGTGCAGAACACATTCTATGTTTTTGTGAGGGTCTAAGAAGGTGTAGATTCTTGAAAGTAGGAGAGGAAAAGCCGCAAGGAATTTTCTACATTAAGAAGCTGCTGGAAAGGCTATGTATGTTGACTAGAGTGCAATAGTTCTACTAAGCGAGGTGCGAAAAACCTTGTGGCCCCCTTCATTTATCCCTATCCCATCCCTACTTTGATTTTATGAACTTGGTTTTTGCTATATTCAGCCATTTATAATAAGCACATTTAATGCATTTAGAAATATACAGTATATTAATGTAGTACTGAAATATTTTATAATTTGGTCATTATAAATCATCCTGGTCTGTTTATCCTCTCTGTGTTGGATTCTCCATTAAGGCATGTTTTAAAATTCTGCCGGTGTTGGGTTTATCATGGTGTTTGGTCTGTCAATCCAATACAGTGAAGATAAGCGGACACAGATGAGAAATTTGCTGACAACCAACACATATGAGATAGAGAAATCTCACAATTTACTCAAATGACTCCTTTTGATTGTGAGTGTATTTTCTAAACGGTAAAGACCAATAGATAGAAATTTAATTATTTAGACTACCACCAGACTAATTATTTGATTATTTTTACCGCTCTACGCTTAGTATAAATACCATTGGAGTTTGATTTTTAAGAAAAATTAGCATTAAAGATTAAATATTTTATAACAGGAGCTAAAAAATAAATGTTTTCAATTTTTTGAGAAGTGAACTTTCTGAAATTCTTTATGAAACGATAAATATTTTACTTACCAAATTAGCAAAAGTAGTTAAATTAGTAGCTGTGAATAAGCCATTTCACACTAACCAATCAATTATTAACCCTATGTTTTTGATAAATAGATAATGATGATAAATAGTAATGAAGTGTTCATGAAATTTCTCTTTATGGCCTATAGTATGATAAACCTGCAATTCGGTTATTATTAATCATCCTGATCTGTCAGTTGCATTTTGCTATCTGCAGAGTTGGGTCTGTCCTGGTTGACAGTCCAACCCAGCAGAGATGGAGGATTGGTAACAACCAACACAGATGAGACCAAGAAATCTCACTATTTACTACAAATAATTCTTAAAACTTTTTTTTACTGGAAAATATTGGTTATTACAGACAACAAATAAAATTAAGGATAATTTTGATAAAATAAACTGTTAAATAGTTGAGAATAGGCCATTTCACAATACAAGTACGTGAAATGTAGGATAATTCAGAATGATGATAGGGCAACCTTGAATAAAGGAAATAATTCCATTGAGCTATTTTAGAATAAATTTAAACTTATTTAAAAAAAAAGAAGAAGAATAACTAGGCAATTGAATAAATCTTCTGGTTGTTCCTCCTTACAGAAATATTATCAAATTAAAGCTAAAATATACCAGATCTCTCAGCTAAAAGAATAGTTGTGAATAGGCTAATTCAGACTGATCCAAAATGTATAAACATACAATTCATATTGTAATGGTCAATCATGTTGCTAATAATACTATTTTTACTCTTTTGTACTTCATTTTGCCTGTCTGACATTTGCTGTATCATAAAAGAAAGGTGGATAATCTTAAAAATAATACTTACACTAGAACAATTATAAGAAACTCATTGTATCACCCTAAACTAGCACGAATTCATAAAAATTTTAAACTTCTCAATCGTATACAAAAGACTTTATGTCATGTAGAAACAATTTAAATAGAAATATTCTAAAATTTGGTTGTTTTGGAAATTTCAAACTGGTTTTTGAATTAAAAACAAACAGACATAAATTAAAATAAATAAATCACACCTACCTCCTAGTTTATAACAAACGTAATTTATTTTAATCGTCAGCTCACCCCATTTCCTGGCAGCTTTTCGTCAATTGCTCGCCCCTTTTTCTTGTCCTTGCTCGCATACCAGCTAAAAAGATTAGGATAATTTTGTGATGCTCTTACAACTCTCTAAACAGCACTTTTCAAAACTAACATTGTCATATTGTGGCGGTAAGTTCAGCATTTAATGATTTCTATTTTGTGTGTAGCTCGCGAGTAAATTAAAGTGTTAAAAATGCACTCTTTTTTCTCTTTAAATAAAAAAAAATCAAACAAAAAAAAACAATCCTACATACATATAAATCAATGATTTGACACCTGATTTCACATACCAAATGATTCCAACTATATGGGTGTTATAACTGTTTTACACTTCTCTTAATGTCATCACAAATGATTAAAGTTGTGTTTGTTTGTTTTTTTTGTTTTTAAAAATAAGGGCCTAGATACGACAATTTACATATTTTAATCGATTACAAATTATTTAAAACAGTCAGAAATTTAATTTTTTGAAATTTATTTAAACTTATTCACTTGACAGAACTTTCATACAACAAAATATATCACCTTGAACAATAGAAAAAACAATAAAATAACCACAGAAAAAACACGATGAACAACTATACTGAGAATAAGATAAAAAGAAAAGAACAAAAAAGAATTTATTCGTAGAAACTATTGTCTGCAAATGTATCATATATTAAGATAATATTTTAACTTTGTTACTATCGACTTTAGTTTATTCAAAACCAATACAACTTGTATTTTTTTAAAATTTACATTGAGCATATGGTAATTATATAAAGATAAATTAGTTTACAAAAACTTCATATGTTCTGCTGATGCTGATTATTTACAAATATAGGGATTTTTGCTATTCTATTTTGCTATTCTATGGTCAAATTGTGCATAAAGTTGTAAAAACAACTCAAATATAGTTTTATTTTTTCACCAAATACAAAAAACAAATGTTTTTGTTCAAAAACATTTTTAATTATATTAAAAAGATGGTTAAAATAGACCAAATTTAGACCAAAATTGGTTAAAATTTAGCCCGGCTATTCTCACAGTTTTATAAATTTCCAAGTATTTCATTATTGAAAAAATATAATTTAATAACAATAAAACTGCTAATGTGCATGGAATGTAATGTAAGATTAAAATTTTAACATTTGTTATTATAAAATAATTACAATGTATATTAATTTTTAAATTAATAAATGCTTTATTGTCCTTATTCCAACTTTCAAAAATTAGGTTGTAAAAGTGATGCCCTTTTTTTAAAGAACACTACTGTTTTTGTTTGTCATTATTATTGTTAATTAGATGCTTATTTAAATTATACAATGGCACCAAGATAGGTAGAAAGATTCTAAATAATAAAAAGATAATCAGAACAAATAAATTTCATTACTATCTTTGGTCATTTGTGAGGCATTAATATAAGATTATTCTCCTAAATTTTCTAATTTTTTATCTTCAACTTTATACTTCCTTTTTTTTTCTTTTTTTTTAAATAAACACAATCAGTTTTCTTGGTTTATCAAGAAAAATGATAACAATTATGAAAAAAAAACTGTTTAAATATAATTCATACTATTTACAAATTAAAAAACAAAAAATGACTAAATGATAACTAAGGTAAAATCTAATTTATCACAATCTTTGAATGATAATGAGCAGCTAAAAGAACAATGTCCACACTTCTTATTATCGGTAGGAATAATGGTAAAACGGTATTTAAAACAGCCGCATCATCTGAGGTTGTCCAAACTTTTTGATTTGATTATTTTTATAGTTGGCTTTGCTAGAAGCGAGTTCATTTCCTTTGATTCTTCCTCGTTGATTGGAGGTGGGATGTCTTCGATGCTTGGTATGATACTGTTTTTAATTTTCTGAAAATAAAAAAAAAAAAATTATCAGATTGGGTGGATTATTATTTATTTTATTTCTTTGCTTACACACCTGCCATAATGTTTTTCCTTCCATACTGGCGACTACGTAGACAGCAAGTATGGGAATGCAGAGGAGACATGAAGCTGTAATGAACCAGCCGAGGACTTCAGCCCACCATGGATATGTGTACATTCCATTGTTGTATTTAGGAGGTTCATAGTCAATTATACTAAAAATCCATAGGCACTAGACGCAGAAATAGAAAAATTAGTACAATTTTGCCATGAAGAGGATTGGACATGACTCACCAAAATGAGGCTTGGTGCTGCAACAGACCAGCACACCTTGAAATAGAAGTACGGTCTTTCGCCTGACATCCTGTGTATATTTTTTGACAGGCGCTCGGCGCCGTAGCACCAAGCAATGGCGATAACTTCAAAAAATGCAATGCACATGACTGAATTCGATACTGCATAATGATCCACCAATTGGAAAAAATATATTCCTCCCTAAATAGAAAATAAATTGTTACTAATAAAATGAAAATGAAACAACAGTTTTATAACCTAGCCCATTTGGATTTATTTATTAAAAACAATCAATATTCAAAGTAATATACCTGAGTTATGTGAGGTAATCCAAGGATGAATGATATGCAGCAAACAACGAGTACGAGCAATTCATGACATACTAATTTCTTTTTTATCCAATTTGGAAATCCATCTTGGAAGGAAGTGACAACCACTTCAACCAGAGCAAACTGAAAACAAGTGAATAATGAAATATTTAATTTCAAGGATTTATTTAAATAAAACCTCCAATAAAATTTTACCTGGCTGTTCAATCCGAGACACAAGAGCATAAAGAAAAATAACACAGCCCAGAAACTAGAAAAGGGCATTTTCGACATGGCTTGAGGATATATAACAAATACCAATCCCGGACCTGAAAATTCAGTTTTTAATGTAAAAAAAAAAAAAAAAAATATTTGTTGGTTTTACCATCGGCGATGACATCCTCAACAGAAGTTGCATGTTCCATGGCAATGTTTCCGATAGTTGCAAAGACAAACACACCAACTATAAGACTAGTGACAGCATTGATCGTTGATACAGTTATAGTATCAACGAGAATCCTATTGTTGGACCTGTTGTAACTTGCAAATGAAATTACGCTGCCGAACGCAATACCTATCGAGTTAAAGTTTTGAGCAGCAGCATACACCCAGACCTGGTGGTCAAAAAATTTTATTTAAGGAAAATAATTGAAAGTAAGAAAGTACAAAGAAAAAATTTTTAAGACATACTTTTGCGTCTGCAAGAAGTTCTAGTTTCGGGTTGAAAAGATATTCTAAGCCCAGTTGGGCTCCATCAAGTGTTAATGATCTTCCCAGGAATGCTAAGACGAGAACGAAAGGAAGAGTTGCTGTGAAGTAAAGTACCCTTCCGGATGACCGTACGCTCTTCCAGAGTGCAAAATATACTAGAATCCATGCGCATATCAGGCAAGCTGCCAATTCCCATCTTACAGATCCCGGGTTTTCTATGCCGGAACTCATCTGGAGTACTTTTTTTCTGAAAATTGATAAAAATGTATAATTTTCTATTACTGGGTAAGATACGATTTGAACGCACATATAAAAATCTTCAGAAGGCGTGCGCGAGTTGTTGGGCCTCGGAATCTTAAGACCGGGGTACCAGCATAATTCAGAGTTCCACATGTTACTACATTCGCTCCATGGAGCATCAGATCGAAACGCAGTGAAGAAATAGAAAAGTGCATATGCTATTATCACATTATAATAGGTCGACATAAAAAACGCTACTACTACACTCGACAGACCTGCCCCTGTAGAAAAAAATAAAAAGAAAAAATCGGTATGATTAAAATTGGAGCAAAAATTTCAAGTGGTACCTTTAAAAATTGGACACATTTTCGAAAAAGCCCCGATTGGGCCACGTTTAGTAAACTGACCTACTGCCAATTCCATATACAGCAGAGGAACACCGCATGTAAACAGGATCAGGTAATACGGTATTAAGAATACTCCTGTAAATATATTATATTAAAAATCAAAATTCAAAGGTCGTGTGTTCAAATCCTGCTTGTTACACTAACTTTTTCATCTCAATCAAGGCCTTACATAAAAAGAATAAATAATTGAAACAATTAATATGGTCAGTTATTACTGCTAAGCATATACGGATTAAAAAATCAAAATATTTAAAATAATATATACAAATATAAAAATTTTCTGGTAAATATTGACAAGAAACTTAAAAAAATTTAAAATATTGCAAAGTCACCAAGATAGATAAACTGTCAAGATTTCTTGGCTGGTATGTCAGATTGTTTGGATATTCATTCATGGATTGATCACCCTTGACTAACCTAGACCACCGATAGATGAAAACAGAAGAAACAGACTATCCATAACTATCTTTTTAAAAAGGATCAGACTATCCAGGATGATCAGGGTTGATCAAACTATGATCAAATATAAATAACTAAAATGAGTCAGGGTTCAGTAATATGAAAACATGAAGCTTTTATTTTAAAAGTTTTTCTCATATAAAGATGTAGACACAAAATGTATTTGTCAAAGTTTTCTTGGATTAACTATTAACATATCTTTACTACATGAACCTGTAATAAAAGTTCACCAAATGAGCAAAGAGAATTTATAAAATCAATGTTTATAATTTCTTTAACAAGAAAACGAATGATGAGACATAAAGGCTTGTTCAAAAAATTGTAAAAATTCCAGTTCCAACTTCTTGTCTCAAAAAAAAAAAAGTTTTTTGAGGGATCTCAGAAAACAAATTAATTGCTCTGTGTTGTCAAGAGTCATTTCATATTTAAATGAGATAATGACTAATGTTGAGTCCAGGTCAAAGGCATATTTTCAAAGAAACAAGCTGTAATTATAGGCACAACTCGTGTCGGCCGTTTAATCAGGATATGGCAATCTTAAACTGACAAAGTGATAAATCAAACAGTCCTTCCCCTAAGAGTTTAACCAAACCATTTAAAATGTTTATAAACAAAAAATAATATACAAATAAATGTTTTGTTTTTCTTACTGAGTTATGAACATACAAAGAATTTAGCTTAATTTAATATTTTACTCACCTCCTCCACTAGCATAGCAGAGGTATGGGAACCTCCAGAGGTTCCCCAGTCCGACCGAGTAGCCAACACATGCCAGGATGAACTGGACTTTGTTGGCCCAGTGGTCTCGGCCTCGCTTCCTTGTCGCTATGTCATCAGTGTCCCATTCCTCCGACAACGTGTAACTGCTGCAAGTAGACATGTTGTCACAACCGGAACTGCTGAAAGCAAAAGGCCCACTACGAATCAATAGGTTTATAGTTTCATCCGCCTTCCAATTAATTACAAACAAGTCATTTAAAGACAGGCCACCGAACTGAAAAACTAACTAGTATTTGAATTTTTAAATTGGTGTATCAGCATAATATTGAGACCGGTTGTTACACAAAAATGAGGCATAAACTATATCCTCATTTTATGCTGGTAATGACCATGAAAACTTTAAAAGTTTGATCAAATTATTGAAGACTGAGTTCATAAACCGACATCAAACCTTGAGTATACAATTTCAATAATAAAACAATTTGCATTGCCTTTTTAAAGGGACAAACTAAAGAAATACGAAATACACAAGACGTACATAAATTAAAGGAAGATATAAACATGGTTGTTGACCCAGTAGTAACAAACAAAATTTGTTCTTTAAGCTTTCTTTTTAGATCCAAGGTAAAAGGATCCATAGTTAGTAAATTAAATTGCATATTATGGGATATTGCAGATGTAGGACTAGTTCATTCTCGGTTAAACTAAGCAGCATACAATGTCACATACAATACTTAGAAGGAATAAATCTGCACCATTTTACAAGAACACCCCAAACAGTTTGACTTGCGAGACACCCCCGATTGGCTTGATTATGGCTTATAATTTTTTATTGCCAGATATTTATGTTTATTGCCAATTAAGAGATATGCTCTTTGACTGTGTGACTCTAAGTGGAACCAGATGGCCAATAAAATTGAATCGTCTGACAGTGGGTCACAGGGCAGAGTTTGAACAGTTTGTCAGTTGAATGGATTTAGATATTTTGTAGTATAATCAATACTTAAATTAATAAGTTTAAAAAAATGTCGATGAAATATTGTAGATAACAGTAAAATCTTGAAAGAAGGAGTACTTTTGGAGCGGGGCGGTGGGGGGGATTGCAATTATATTATTTGCAGTATTAGACGCTAAAAATTGGTCATTACTAGTCATTTTTATCAGTCAGACGTGTTTGTGCATTTTGCCATTTTGTCAAATATCAAGTGTTAATCAAACAAATTGAATATTAAATAACAAGACATGAAAATTAAAAAAAACCTATCAATCCAAATAAATAAAAATAATTCTTACATACATAGATTGAAGGACTATAGAAGGCAAAAAAAGTATGCATTAATAGAGATTTTTGATGTGTCTTACAAGGAGATGACCAGGTTGGTGTGACATGGATTTGGATAAACTTTTATTGGTGATTCTACACTCCAAAATAAGACATGTATCCGCCACTTCTTGTGAATAGGCCCTGGTTTCGACAAAACAATTTTTGAAAGTTGAAATTTTCCATTTTATAATATTTTTATAAAATTTATCTCTGTTCTATTTACTCAAATCAACAATGTGAAAATATCATTTTACAGCATTTTTTTTGTAGATTGCAATAAAAATATAGTAAAAGTTAATCAAATATCAATAACCCAAACGTTTCTAAAAACCAAATATTTTTCAAGTAAACTAGGTAATAAACATTTTTTTCGTGAAACTAATATTAAACTTCGTTTTAGCACCTCTAGAGACCCCTAAATATAAATTTCTATTTGAATTGAAATTTATCGATTTTTGATCCCTAAAATTTTTTCGATTTTTAAGAAGTCGTTCTCTGAATATATGATGGAAATGGCTATAATTAAAAACAAAATGTTTTTAAGGTCAAACATACCGTTTGAAAGAAGAGAAACGTAGCTTTTTAACGACGTATGTACTATAAAAATATGTAAAATATTCCTATAAAAAAATACATACATACAATAAGAAAATATTTTTATCACAAATTAACCTCGTTTTTTAAATGGAAATAATTTTAATGTCTGATACAATTATAAAATGCACTTGACAATTTCTTTAAAACGAATTATCAACCATTAAAATCGGTCTCCTAGGTATTGAGAAAAATGGTATTACAGCTTCCACTAGAATGTCCAGTCACGTGTCGAAATTATCAGTTAAAAAATTAATTTACACCGATTTCCGCGAAAGTCGGTATGTAAAGATTTTATAACGCTAGAATCACGAAAATGAGGTCAACTCCAACTTTTTTATTACAATCTACATAAAAAATGTTGTAAAATGGTGTATTCACATAGTTGAATTATGTAAGTAGAAAGGCGAAATAAAAATATTTAAAAAATTTTTAGGCGAAACCAGGGCTTATTCATAAGAAGTGGCGGATAGGTGTCCGGTATTTTTGGAATGCAGAATTACTAAAAAAAAAAAGTTTGGTTCAAATCCGAGACACACCATCCTGGACGGCTCCTGTTAGTTTAAGCAATAATTTTATCAAATAAATTTGATTATTCTTGACTCTATTGACATCAATTAAGTGCTGAATCCACAAATTACAAATTAAATAAAAAACTTATTAATGTCATATTGATGTGCTATAGAAGATGAAAGTATATTGGAATGAAAATTAATATATTTTTTTAAATACATATGAATAAAAATCGTTTCAAAAATTTGATTATTATTACTATTATTTTACCAGGTTAGCAACAGCAGAGGTCATATAAACCATCGGCGTGTCGGTGTTTTTGAAAAAAGCCTATGTGTAAGTCGGTTCCGAATGTAAGGACACGGGATTGGTGTAACGCCTTATGCTGGGCACATACATCTAAAGATTTACGCCGAATGCTTTCGCCATAAATATTTTCTGCGCAAATTGAAAAATATATAGCGGCGAGTCTCCACTCAAGTTGTGCTTTGTTTTTGCTATCTTCGCTCCCCACCAGGTTGGTTCATGTTTGGGTATGTGTTTAGTAATAGAAATAGACAAAGAATTCCTGTTGCAGACGTATGAAGACCATAAATTGTCGTGGGATCCTAAACATAAGAGGCATAAATGGCAAAACCAAGAGAAACGACGCGTGGCAAGTCCTAGCAAGTTCGGTAGGAATAACGTTGAGGATGCAAAGAAAAAGATGTCAAGCCTTCTTAAATATTTCAGGCGAGAAAAATCAATTCACGAAATCAATTGGAACGGGTAAATGTAAGTTAAACAATCATTTATTATTTTCCAGGTTTTAAAACAATACCATTTTAGAATCGAATAATAGAAATTCATGATTTTGTATGTTCCTTTCGCCAACCCCCGGGATGCTTCTTTTTTCTTTTTTTATTGCCCCCTCATTCCCTTGCAAAAAAAATAGCTGCTGGGGGTTGGCGAACGGTGCCCCCGCTAGTTTTATATTACCATATTTTTTTGAATAAGACAGAAAGATCAATCCTAAATAAACACACTCAAAAACTTCCGCGCCTCTCGATTCATGGCAGGCTCGCTAGAAAAAATGACGTTTACACTACTCCAACTCTTCGTCGTTAACATTTTCTATGCATTTTTATTTTAATTTGAATTCTATTTTATTGCCTTTCTCTGTTGTATACCTCGACAGGGCTAACTGTCAGTAGTAAATATTGTATTTTTGAATTTATAATCAAACCTATTTTCTCAAAACTTTGTCCTAGTGGCTTGTGGTGGCAAATGCTAATAGACTGGGAACTGCAACCGTCTCAAACCTTCCCTATATCCTCGTGTGTCTAAAAACAATCGAGGGATGTGCACAATATCTCCCTTTTTATTTCCAGTTAATATTTCGTAGTCGTCCTATTACTATCAAACGGGTCCCGTTATACACATTGACACTTATGCACAAATTTCTTAATACCATAAATATGCATCCTGCATTTAAGTGCAGTTCTACAGGAGGCAAACCCGAAGGTGTCACTGATTCTAATGGATACTGCAAACTTACGTTTTCATTGTCGGCTTTGTCACCAGCTAGTGACTCAGCATGATCTATGGAAATACAATTAACAATTTCCACTGGTAGTTTTACAATAAGATGATTGATTTTTTTTCACTTAATTTCTAGTTGCTAATATAGCTCTATTTTTTCCTAAGACAAATCTAATGGATAAAACTTCAATTAAATTATCGCATACCATTTCCTGGTCTATTTCAAGTTTTTATGATATTATTTCCGATATCTAACTAATCTGAGAAATTAAATGCAATATCCTCCCGCACGCATATTCTTGGACAATTTGAATTGCTGAAAGCTATTCCATAACAAATTATTTTTTAAAAATGTAAATTTGTCATTTTTTACGACTGGTAAAACCTGTCGAAAGTCACCCACCCCGTATAAAAATTTTTCCAGCAAATACACGATCGTCATTAAAAACATATCTAGGTAGTCTTATCAATAATGGCTAATACAGTTTGGGGAATCATCGACTTTTCATCCCAGATGAAAATGATTGTTTCTTTGAGTGCCTGTTTCATTTTACGTGACCAATGTGTGACGTGATCTTCAATTATTTTCAATTTCACTAGTTTCGTGGTCCGCTTGACCAATTTACCGAGGTCACGATAGCTCAAGTGGTAGAGCAGCGGCGTGTCAAGCCGAAGATCGTGGGTTCGAATCCCGCTCGTGCCATTGACTTTTTTATCTCAACAGAAAACCTTAATTAATTGTAAGATATTAATTTTAATGGAAACACGGATGTCCTGTCCGTCCTATGGGAAAAGAACTGCCGCTACTCCTGTCCAAGCAATAGTTACAATTGTTTTACCCAAATGTCTGCAGAAATGTATCAGGCATTTGTATAAAAATGTCTCCCCACTACCTCCAGGTCCGTCAACAAAGAATATATTTTGAGAGCTACTCATTTCTTCAGTTAGGGCCAATTTAATGGTATCGAAAACTTTTGACTGATCTGCTTTCATTTTTGCCTACGTTTGTTCATAAATGACTTTACGATCATAACTCTTTAGATCTTCGTCCACAGAAATTTCTTTCAAGATTTTCGAGACATGAATCTTTTCAGGAAGGCCATTTGTTTCATTGTCATTCCTTCGTTTTCAATCGGGTCTCGAATGATGGACAGTGCAGTAGCTTCACTAGAGTGTTCGCTTAATTTGTCTTGAAGTTGTTCGCAAAACATTAATACATCTACTTCTCCTCTCATTAATAAATAAACAAAGAAATGCCTAAATCTATTTGGCATCATAACCAGCATCGTTCATCATTTCGAACATATAATTTTCCGATTCGCACAATACGGCTGCTCCCGTGCTGCTCTGCCTCCTGAGATCTTATGATAAATTCCGTATCTTCGCGAATTGTAATCCGTTTTTAGATATTGTTTGTGTCTGTCTAACTGTTCAATACTATGTAAGTCTTCGCTGAAAATCTTTCAGAATTTTAATCGGAACAAAAAATTTAAAGTAGCTAACTTCCGGATTAAAATAAGTATTGGTAGCAATTGTTTATTTTATTAGCTTATTTTGTAGAAAAAACTTTTCTCTTTTCAACTAAGTGTAATATCACTTGGTTTTTTAAAGTTTAAACTGAGAAAATAATGAGAGAAGTGAAAAATTCGATTAAAACGTTATGTTTATCCTTCTCCTATCTTTTTCTCTTTCTACACCATTAAAATCGTATAGGCCCAATACTCTGTCATACTTCATCCAAAACTTTTTAATAGTATAGAAAAAGAGAGAGATTTTAGGAGGACAGAAACGTCCCCAACCACAGCTTTTATGCAGAGCAAATTCGTCAAAAACCCGACTAGGTCCCGAAGCGTGTGCGTCGAATGTGGGATAAATTCTTGCGTACGTTTTCACGTCCGCACTCACAGAAATTTTTGCTGTCTTATTCGGCGTACAATTTTATAGGTGTGGACCCAGCTTTAACAGTTGCTGTCACTGACGTCCAAAATTGCATTGAAATCAGTAAAATATCAAGAGTTACATTAAAAAATTCAACTCTAACCATTTACCAATTTGGGAAAAAAACATAAGTTGCACAAACAAATTTCAGACGTATTGTTAGGCTATAGAAGACCAGAGAAGAGTGGTGCGTTAATATTTTTTTTTCTACGTCTTAGTTTATGAAAAGCAACTCCAACACATTTACTGTAATCTATCTATCAGTCAATATATTTATTATCAATCGTTAATCTATCAAATTGAAAACTAAAAAAAAGGACAAAAATAAAAAAGTAAGAAACACGAAAAGAAAATGGCCCTGCTGGCCGCAGTGGCTCGTGGAATGCTTCCCACTCCCGCTGGGGAATTTCATTTGCCCACAAGAAATGCTCGAGACGCGTCGGCCTACCAGGAGCGCAGGCTATCCCAGGAGCTCGCGAGCCTATCACCTTCCATACACTTCAGGACGGGCTCATCTAGGTCAATATGACCCCCTTCGTTTCAATTTCCGCCTCTTAATAATCGGGTTTAATTGACTAATGGCTTGTTTTTAAATCATAGTCGTTACCGTATTATTTAATAAATGGAAGACAATTTTTTTTTTAAATTAAGTTCATACGTTTTCCTATTAGGCTGGTGCAAAAATAATACATAAAAAGGCAGTCAAAACAATTTTTAACTTTTATAAAATAAAGAAAATTTATATGAAATATTTTCCATCACAATCCATACATCTTTGCCAAGTAATAAGCGCTTTGATTCCGCTGACATAAAAATCTTTATTTGACTCACGATAAAGCCTTGAAGGCGTTTTCGGCTTTACCTCGTTCTCTAAAAAAATGACCAAAATGCCTAAAAAGTGGAAGTCTGTAGGCGAGAAGTCGGGTGAATATGGAGGGTGAGGTAAGGTTTCATATCTAAGCCTCAAGTTTCCGCGGGCTTGGCGTTATCGTGAAGGACAATCAGCCCCTTATGGTTTACCAAAGCTGGACAAAAACGTTCCAGTTTCCCGAGCACTTTGTCAATTTCTTGGCAATATTTCTCTGCTGTGATAGTTTCACCATAATTCAGGAAATTATAGTGAACAACTCCAGCAGTAAACTACCAAACAAACAATCGACATAACTTCACTAATTTCGTGGTCCGCTTGACCAATTAATATATTACAATTAAATAAGGTTTTTAGTTGAGATAAAAAAATCAATGGGACGTGCGGGATTCGAACCACTCACGATCTTCGGCTAGATACGCCGCTGCTCTACCACTTGAGCTATCGCGACCTCGATCCACTCGGACACCAACTTCCCAACTCAACCCCATGTCTTGAGTTTTCCCTCCTTTTTGCCATTTTTCAAATGTCGTGTAATCTGATTGGATTCAAATCCCGCTCGTGCCATTGACTTTTTTATCTCAACTAAATACATTAATTGTAATCGACATAACCTTTTTTTCGGAACAGATTCGATTTCGGGAAGTGTTTTGGCGCTTCATCCTTGTCCAAGTAATTTTTAATATATTTTTATCTCTTTATAAATAGAAGCGGATTTTTTCGAAGAAATTGACGTCTTTTAAAGATATTTTAGACAAATTTGATAAGTCTGGAGGGACCTTATGCACCTTTTAAAATTGTCAAAATGATGAATTGTACAATTCTCCTTTAACCTGTAATTGTCTAATTTTGTGCTTTACTCAGGTAGAAATGCAAAAAATTCTCGATTTAATGTAATTTGCGACTTTCTAATCATATGACGTGAACTTTCCTCTCACTTACTTTTCAAATGAAACATGAAAAATTGAAAATAATACTTTTAAAACAAATTTGAAAGGCAGAAAATTGTGAGAAAACACGAACGTTTTTGGTTCAAACCAAAAAATAACGGCTTCATTTTTCCATGGGGCGCTCTCAGAAATGTAATTTTGCACTTCCGATCAATCTTTATTGTGGAAGGAAAAAATGTATACCCATCATGTCACGCCAAGAACCCATCCAAGAATTTGTACAATTTCAAAGTCCCAATTATTATTAAAGCACGAATTTGTAAAAAGACATTAAGCGCTTCGGAAGATCCACGTGGCTTATTCTCTCGATTTTAAATGTGACATACGATCCGTCATGAAGAGACAGAAGAGGTCAATTCGACACGGGAATAATGGGCACCACCAAAAACACTCAAGGACTCGTGTCCGATTTCATGATTATTTTCCCTCGTAGATTAGACCGAAGCTTTTGCTCCTGAAATAGTTTAAATGTTACAGTGGTTTAAAAAAAAAATT